CAGCAAGAACTGGGTTGCGAGATAGGGAATCGGCGTTACAGTTTATTTTACCCTTTTTATACACAATTTCGTAATCGAACTCCTCGAGTTTCAGACGCCAACGGACTAATTTGGAACTTGGGTCTTTACAATTAAATAACCACTGCAGAGGTTTGTGGTCCGTGACAATTTGGAATTTATGACCATACAAATATGGTCGAAAAACTTTTGTACCGAATATTATAGCAAGGCATTCCTTTTCTGTTGTGGAATAGTTACCTTCAGATTTGTTGAGGGTGCGAGAAGCATAGGCTATTGGGAGATCTTTGTTAATTTCACCCTGAGAAAGAATTGCAGAGACTGCATAATTTGACGCGTCTGTTGTAAGTATAAAAGGTTTTGTAAAATCAGGATATTGTAGGATTGGGGCCGTAGTAATTTTATTTTTCAAAGTTTCGAATGCATTTTGTTGATCGACGTGCCATAAGAATTTCGAATCTTTTTTCAAAAGACTAGTAAGTGGTTTAGTTATATGAGAAAAGTTGTCTATGAAGCGCCTGTAATAGCCAACAAGTCCTAGAAAAGATTTAATATCTCGAGGATTTTTGGGAACTGGAAACTTTTGTACACATTCTACTTTTTTAGGATCAGGTTTCACTCCATGTTGAGATATTATGTGGCCTAGATATTGTACTTCTTTACGAAGAAACTCGCTTTTATCGGGCTGCAGTTTAAGATTATGTTTACGTAAGTTATCGAAGACTAATTTAAGCTTTGAAATGTGAGACCGTAAGTCATGGCCGAAGACGATGATGTCATCTAAATAAGTAAAACAGTGAATACCTTGTAATCCGGAAAGTACTATATTCATCAACCTCTGGAAAGTTGATGGTGCGTTTTTAAGACCAAAGGGCATTCTATTAAACTGATAATGGCCTGGTTGACCTGACACACCCGGAACACTAAAAGCTGTTTTCTCAGCATCCGAATCTTTGGTACATACTTGATGAAACGAAGACGCTAAATCGAGTGTAGTAAAATATTTACTATGTCCCAGTTGATCTAGTATGTCGGTAATGTTAGGAATGGGATAAGCATCACCAACAGTTATCTCGTTAAGTTTTCGGTAGTCTATAACAATTCGCCACTTTGGTTTTCCAGACGCATCCTGTTTTTTTGGTACCACCCAAATAGGAGCAGACCAGGGTGAGGCTGATGGGCTAATAATACCTTGGTCCAGCATGCTTTTTATTTGTTTACTAACTTCCTCTTTGTGACACTCGGGAAAACGGTAACTTTTAGCGTGAATTGGAGTTTCGGACGTAGTACGAATTTCGTGTTGAATTGTTTTTGTAGCAGTCAAGACATCTCCTTCAAGATAGAAAATATCATGGAACTCGGAGCATAATTCGCGTAACTGAGATTCCTCCTCTTTATTTAAATGATGACATCTCAATGCTCCCTGTACTCTCTTGTTGTGATCTACACCGAGTAAGGTTGTTGTTAGGCAAGGGAGGACGTCTTTAGATAACTCAGAGGACTCGGAAGGAATATCTTCTAAAATGTATGAAACTGGTTCTAACGTTAATTTTATTGGATGTAGAGTAATTTCGTTTTCTGAAGTATTTAGTACGGATATGTTAACTTTATTATTAGGTTTTACGCGAGTGAGGCATTTGGAAAACAGAAGTTTTGGATAGTTTGTTAACTTTGTTGTCAAACACAAACCTTCCTTTATTTCTGGGTTTGTAACTGCACACTCAATCATCATTTCAGTGCGGCTTGGGATTATATAAATTAACTCGCGGTTCAATTCGAAATAAACAGGTGGGTCACTTGGTATTTGTAATTGCGACGTCTTATAGCAAATAGAGCCACAATAGTCTGTCAGAAAGTTTGAGCCTAAAATTCCGTCGTAATCAAGGTTTACTTTATCAACAACATGAAAATAGAAAGGGAATTCGTAATCGTTATTGTACTTAATCGATAACATAAACCTACCTTTTGTTTCAGCGAATGAACTAATGTCGTTTATACCTTTAAATTTGACTTTATCTGAGTCGAGATTTGGAGTTTCTGATAAACTTGTTTCTTTTATAAGACATATAGAGCTACCCGTATCGACAAGAAGTTTTAGTAAATTTTTGGAATGAGACGTCTTGACTTGGATATATGGTAACGAAGATTTTTTATTTTGAGATATATCATATATCGTAGGACATTCTTCAGGGTCTTCAAAAATATTATCAATTAGGTCTCTGCTAGAGTTAGTACTAATGGAATCAGTGGAAACAGTGGATTGGACACGTACACGCTTGTTTAAGGTTAAATTATGTTTATTGCCAGTGGGACGTTTGTCCGAAATAGAAGACAATGTTGAATTTTGACTGTTATCGGTGGGCTTTAACGCCGAAATAGAAGATAACAGTTTACGCTTTGTGTTAGTTATTGATTTGGAAACAAACATAGAATTATTATTAGAATTAGTAGCATTAGAAATAGAACTTGATTTATAGGAATTAGAAATATGGTTTGTATTAGTAGTGCCTTTCATTTGAAATTCACGTCGGCACTTGCACGCGAATCCCGCTTTTAGTTTAAATTGTCATTATTTTGCAAGTTTTCAATTTGTGGTGGTAATAACACTTCGGAAGCTTCTATACAGTGCTGTTGTTGGTAAGGCGACCTCGATTGCGGTTTTAATGAATTATTATACTGACGTTTTCGACATTCTGAAATATCATGTCCCACGTGCTTGCAGTATCTACAAACAACGGGAGTCGGCCTATCTGGATATTTGAAACTAGATGTTGATGGGTTAGGCTGTGTTAGTAACTGTGCTCGGTATCGATTGTTGTCGCGTCGTTTATTAAGATAACATTCCGACTCTAAGTGCCCCTTCTTATTACATTTCTTACAAAACTTCGAATTAGTTTGGACAATTGTACTTTTTTGAGTATTTAAAATCTTTTCCTCTTCTAAAGCAATATTAATGGCAGCATTAAAAGATTTTGGAGCTCGACATCTAACTATGTTACTAACATTACTATGCAAACCAATAATGAATGTAAAAAGCGCAAGATCTTCGGTCATAGCAATACGACCCGCTAACTCCTTTTTTAAGGTGTCAGAGTTGTGTATCTCAGCTTGAAGATTTGTGAGACAAGTTTCTATCCTTAGGACATATTGTGCTACGGTTTCATTTGTTTCTTGCTTGCATGATTGCAAATCTAATAATAAATGATTATAATGTTTACGCTCTCCGAAATTTTGTCTCAGAAAATCTTTAAGACTGTCAAAATCTTCAAATAGTCTATTAGAGCACGCGATTTGAGCTTTACCTCTTAATTTAGAAATTATAAATTTTAATAAAAGATCTTTTTGTGTTTCTGAAGCCAAATCGAGCGCATTCTTGCAGTTCGTTAAGAATGCTGGTAGGACATCGCGTTCTCCACTATATGTATCTATGAAATCACAGAGAACTTTCATGGGATATTGCTCAGACTTGTTTTCAGCTTTAAGAGACATTTCTAAAGGTATTTTATACACGGAAAACGTACAAATTTATATAATAGTTTTGAAAATTCTGTAAACGGATATATGGCAACAACAGAAAAATATTAGAATATTTTACTCACAATAGGGTAACGGGGACGAGCAGCATCTCGGTCGAATGTAGAGAACCAGTGGGTGCTGACCTTTCTTAGGCCAACCACAGCGCCGTCTCAGTCAAAGCGAAACGCTGCGGCAGTCAGAAACAGCTTACAGCGTAGCGTCGATGGAGCAGGGCACAGCGCAGCGCCGTCGGAACAGGGCACTGTGTTGATGGAGTAGGGCACAGCGCAGCGCCGTCGGAACAGGGCACTGTGTTGATGGAGTAGAACACAGCGTAGCGCCGTCGGAACAGGGCACAGTGTTGGAATCAATACGAAGCAGGAACTTGTAGCAGTTTGAACAGCGTGACAGGAATAGCAAAGTTCGTGATTGCACTGATGAACACAGTCAATGTTTATTTTCACTCACAGTTTTTGATCAGTAAGATGCAGGATTTTTATAGATACAGTGGATTTGAATTATCAGTCTTTTATAAATTTTTTAGTAATAGCACGAGCGTAATGATTTTATTGAGATTCGGTGTTGTGGACACGTATTTTACTCATTAAAATTTCCTGAAAGTCTATCAAAGAATCCCACTTCTGACACCACTGTTATGTGGGATCTTGGAGGCAAAAACTATTATTTCGATTATTGGAATTTTAATAAAAAATAAAATAAAATACAGAGTTAGAAATAGAAAGTGTCCACATCAAAAACGCTTAAACCGAACTAATTCATACATCGCCGGAAATGCTTACGAGGATTTTCAATTGACGTCAATGCATTAAGTAAAACGAAGTAAACAACTGAAGCTGGCTCAGCGGTTTACTTAGCCTTGGTATAGCAACGTGATGCTGATATAACAGTATGTCATTTAAAACCAGTCAACGAATTACCTAATTGTTTAACTGAAAGTAGTTGAACGGATGGATAGTCACATAGGCTACTTTTTATCCTTTTGTGACGCGAGCGAAGCCGCGGGTAAAAGCTAGTATTTTATAAATGAATCTTGGTATGCATAGTTATACATATAAAAGAAGCATGCTAACAGTGTTGGGTCTACTTCATGAGATAAGTGTAATTAAATCATAAGTTAATAAAGTACAGTTAAACAACAATTATCTATAACGTACATATTATTACAATGCCATACTCTGAAAACAAAGTTAAAGTGAATTTAATGTCATTAGAGAGGGTTTTAAACATTTATATTGCTTTCGTAGGTAGTAATCTGCTCCTAAATATAATCACTGATCAGAAATTGACATTAGGACGCCTCATGGAACAGTCACAGTTGCTCTTAAAGGTCTCCATCATAATTTTATTGATTCCAAGAGTCACTAACATAACCTCAAAATGAACTATCCATTTCATATTTTTCTTACCATTTATTCACATTTTATACACTTCAACACACAAATTACCTTCAGAACTAGACGTTTTACGTTTTCTTCCGCCTCTATTCTTGAGATTTCTCTTCTTAAACGTAGATGGAACTTCAACTTCGACATCAGACATTTTGAATATTAAAAACTTAAGTTTAACACTTTATTCAAGTAAATAACTGTGATAGACACTTAAGACATTAGTTTTAGTAGTATAATTAGTATTTTTTACTTAGTAAATTGAGGTAGTTTTTAGTTTGTTAATGATTTTATCGGCTTGTTTACAAACTCAGATAATCACAGCGAGTGACGTCAACTGAAACGTCAAATGTCAACGCAACGCTAGTGTAGGGGTAGATGTGTTATTATTCCATCGATTAAATTTGTTTGTAATCGATTACAACCGTGATTGCGTTCTAAAATTAAATTGTGAATTAAAATGTTAGGTACCTTGTAAGTTGAAATTTAATAAAAAAAAAAATATACATTTTTTTAAATAGTAGGTACATAAAATTTCTATGTGACTGCAAAAAAAAAACATGAATGCAGTAAAATGGTGTTAACTAGATACTCCTATATGCATTAAGCATGTTATAATTTTTTTACGGTTCATAATTATAATTTACGCAAATACTGAAAGCTGACTGAATTAGATTTCATTCGACTCGACTGGGGATATCGATTTAAATTGGCTTTTTCGCTTTCTTTCACAACACTAGACCTTTGACATTTTGTTTGTTCGGATACATTATCTAAAAGTGTAATAAACTTACAGGTAAGGTGTTAAAAATAATGTTAAAAAAAGGTTTCTCATCTATTTTATTTTTGCATTTCATTTACTTAAATTGTGTATTCCAGTGTATCATTTGTACATCTAATTATGACCTTCAAGTTTCTTTATAAACAATAAAATGACTTAGAGTATAAAAAGTATTTTTTTCTTACTTTGCTCTTCCAAATAGGTACCCAAATTGTATTTTTGTTATAATCATGTTTCTTGTGTTCACTACTATCATACATTACATTACTTGCATATCGCACACCCTATAAGAATGATTTACACGATGTATACACACAAAAATACATTTCATGACTTTCATTTTACATCGAATGAGCCAATCACGACGACTAAGACAAAACGAAAAACAAAGTCTAAAAATTTAAATCCTCGAAAATAGATAGTCATCGTTACTGCGCGTTACCTTACTAATAAAGGAGGTGTGGTGACATGATAGCAAACTGGAACTTTGTCAAGCTTTGTCATCACAAATAATCATTGAATACCTGGTTTTGATAACGCGGGGGATGACCATCAAAAACCGCTTTGCTTTTCGGGGAGAAGAATTAGTCAATAGAATCCTAATCTCACTGTAGCCGCACCGCACGACTACATACCTACCAGTTACCAGTACCACCGAATACCTTTCCATATACCAGATACCTTCCACAATACCTTTACCAAAGTTATAGACTCACTTCGTTTAAAGAAACAAGAAACCAATTGTCTTGAAAAAGACAGTTTACGTTTTGACTCCGTTTTAAGAAACCAGAAACCAATTGTCTTGAAAAAGACAGTTTTCGACTTTCCTGCATAGAAACGATAATCATCACTGCGGCAACAGCGTTATCACACCGTGCCGCGAGCGATCGCTTCGAAAGAAGCGGTTTGGTAAAGCAAGCAGCCAAGCAGCGCAAGCGGAGCCGGAGCCGGAGGCCGGAGTACTTGCATTCATCTTCATTCATCTGTAGGTAGTCTTCAGTCTTCACTCAACGCCGGCTCTCGGAGAAATGCGCGCGCTCGCGCCGTGCGGTCATACTTATACGGAAGGAACCGATAGTGCCGTGTGCAAAGCGGCGCCCCGCACCCCGCGCGCCCCGCGCACGCCGGCGCGCCGCTATTGGTCGAAACTATTACCTAACTATATCTGATCTTGTCTAGTTGTAAATATGTAAATAGAAATATAAGTAGCGTAGTTTGGCGAAATAAAATCATTCTTGTCAACACCTCTCATCGGAGTTTCACTACTACTAGAAGATAAGAAGAAACCTCCTCTAGGACACTAGGCTCTCCTACCTAGCTCCTAAAATGGTGACCCCGACGTGATCAACGGATCTCTGCAAGAATCAATCAATCGCCGCCTAGTACTACAGAAAATCAAGCTCGTCGTAATGTCCAACTCCAACGAAAAAACGCCGGAACTCTCCAGCGTGTCGACGTCGCTGCGCATCCCACCCATATGGCGCGACAGAATACGCCTATGGTTTGCGCAGTTCGAGGCGATTATGTCTCCGCAGAAAAAGGGCGACCAAGCCATGTTTGAGCTTGTCGTCGGTCATCTCGAAAGACAAGACCTCGATGAAATATCCGACATTATCCTTCATCCTCCGGAGAGAGACCGCTACGAAACCCTCAAAAACAGACTACTCCAGGTCTATGAGGAGTCTGAACAGCGTCAAGTTCAACGCCTTCTCTCCGAGATGGAGCTCGGCGACTTAAAACCATCACAGTTACTTCGCCGGATGAAGAATCTCGCCGCGGATAATATATCTGACGCTGCGCTTCGTATTATGTGGACAAACCACCTCCCCCAGTCCGTGCGCGCAGTCCTCGCTGTCAGCGACAACATCGCTAAACACTCGGACATCCACGATCTAGCGATGATGGCTGACAAAATACTCGAACAGACGCAACCTCATGGTACAGTCGCTGCTGTGACTGAAAACCCCGCTTTCCCCCGTGTACCTACAAGTATTGAAGACAAAATCGATATGCTTACGAGGGAAATCGCCGAACTCAAAGCAGCACAATCTAGCCATCGTTGCAACCGTCAGTCGAGACGACCTCAGAACAGATCGCGATCATCGAACCGATATCGCTCCCAGTCCAGACAGCGCGATAACACTCCACGCCGCACGGAATCTTCTGGAATTTGTTATTACCACCGCAAGTTCGGGAAGGAGGCACAGCGATGCACACGTCCGTGTAATTTCCAGAACAACAACACCCGTCCGGAAAACTAAAAGGTGCGTTGGATGAGGCGGGAACCGGCGCAACAACTACGTCATACCGCCTGTTTATAACAGACAGAAACTCACGTCTGTCATTTCTAATTGATACTGGCGCAAACGTCTCCGTCATCCCTAAACGAAAAGGCGTGAAGATAACCCCAACTGACTTCTGTTTATACGCCGCAAACAACACGGTTATACCTACCTACGGTGAGAATACGCTACAATTGGACCTAAACCTACGCCGACCTTATCGTCGCTGAAGTCAGCAAGCCAATCATCGGCGCCGACTTCCTACGCCACCACCAACTAGGTACTCGTCGACATAGCCGGTCGATGTCTTGTCGACAAAGTAACCAACCTCACCGTCAAAGCGCCAATCTCATATTCCGCCGAGCCAACTGTAAGAAGCATAGACGTCGAACAGCCGTATCATCAAATATTGAGTCAATTCCCTGATATCCTAAGACCATCATGCATGAAGACCACTCCCAAACACCGCGTGGAACATCACATTGAAACCACCGGTCCACCTGTACATAGCAAAACCCGGCCATTACCCCCACATCGATACTTGGCCGTGAAGAAAGAGTTTGAAATCATGATGCAGCAGGGATTATGCCGTCCAAGCAAAAGTCCCTGGTCCAGCCCACTACACGTCGTCCCGAAAAAGAATGGCGACATACGGGTATGCGGCGATTACCGAAGACTCAACGACGTAACTAAACCCGACCGCTACCCTGTACCTCGCCTCAAAGACTTCACATACCTACTCCACGGCAAGAAGATTTTCACCACACTCGACCTGAATCGTGCATACCAACAATTACCCGTTTACGAACCCGACATCGAGAAAACAGCCATAACAACCCCGTTTGGCTTGTTCGAGTTTCCCCGAATGTGTCCAGGCTTAAAAAACGCGGGACAGACATTCCAACGGTTCATACATCAAGTACTCAACGGGTTAGACTTCGCATTTCCATTCATTGATGACGTAATCATCGCGTCAGAAAACAACGCACGCCACATCAAAGATTTACAAGAAGTACTACGATGACTAAATGACTACGGTATCACTATAAACCCGTCAAAATGCGTCTTCGGTCAAGAAAACGTCAAGTTCCTAGGATATCAAGTGTCGAGCGAAGGAATCGAACCTCCACTTGATAAGGTCAACGCTATCACTGCTTACCCCAAACCCGAAACAATAGCGGACCTACGTCGATTTCTCGGCATGGTGAACTTTTACCGTGACAGCATACGTAACGCGGCCCACATACAAGCGCCGCTAAACGCATTTCTACATAACTCCAAGAAACGCGATAAAACAAAAATCGAGTGGAACCATGAAGCACTTCAAGCATTCGAGTTGTGTAAAGCTAGCATACAAAACGCAGCTTTACTCGCTCACCCATCCTCGTCACCAACTCAACCAATATCACTCATGTGTGACGCATCGAACACCTGTGCTGGAGCTGTCCTACAACAACTTGTAAACAACAAGTGGGTTCCCCTCGGCTATTTCTCGAAGAAATTCTCAGAAACACAACAACGTTATAGTACGTTCGACCGAGAATTATTATCAATATATATGGCGATCAAACACTTTAGAAAAATGTTCGAAGGAAGAGAACTCATTGTTTACACCGATCACAAGCCGCTTACCTACGCAATACGCAAGCCGCCGTCGGACAACGACACACAACGACGCACTCGCCAGCTGTTGTTTATAAGCGAGTTCACGACCGACCTACGTCACGTGACCGGAGTGAACAACGTAGTCGCCGACGCACTGTCACGCGTTGAAACGACCGACTTACCATCGCCGATAGACTACGATCAACTATCGCAAGCACAAGAAAAGGACAGCAATATTCTCAACCTATCTAAACAATCAAATATTCAACTCAAGAAAATCGCCATACCTACTTCAAACAAGCTGATTTACTGCGAAGTATCGACGCCTCACATTCGTCCATACCTACCAGTTGACTTTCGTCGCATCGCATTCAACGCCGTGCACAATACAAGTCATCCTGGTATTCGAACTACACGCAAACTAATGCAGCAACGATACTTCTGGCCGTCTATGAACACCGACATTGGCGAGTGGGCAAAGTCATG